ATATATGTATATGCGTGTGTGTATACCGAGGTGTAAAAAGCTCAGGCACCAACTCAATATTGTGTAGCTCCAATGTTCATCCCATAAAGATTATTTCGTATTATATGCAGGTATCATTGCATATAAATTACACAGGCGTCCAGACACATAATCTACATTCCTTTGTTGTCCATCAGAGAAGTGCTTGATTGGTGTAGAGTTTGTACACAGTTCTAAAATATGACCTACATATGGTCAATGGTATTTAAAACCTAATGCCAATGGAATACGCATCAGTCAGCCAAGTGATTCGAGAATCATTTTCTAGACATCTGCGCATGACATTACAGTCAATTACGTGCTAATAACTTTGGAAAATGTATGAATCCCATCACTTCTCGCCCCAGCAGGCAAATAGCAGGACAGACTAGGTTTTATAGCCTTGTGTGGCAACCGACCGAGGAGAAGGAAAAATCAGAATTCAAAACTGTATGTAACCGTGGCGATGAACATACTATGCAGCTAAAGAAAAGACCGTTCGCATTAACTCGATAATTTAAACTACGGTCGATAGTTTTATGCAATGTCTTCCACACACGGGATCGACATTCTGCACCAGATTGCTTAAAACATTTAACCAAGTGATACCATATAAATAATACAGAGTGAAATGATAATGGTTGCAGGCGCAGTATAGCGTCAATGGTATAAAAATAAGTAATGAAATGTATTCTGTACAATGGGTTGATTGAGGTGCTAAGCGGCATCAGGTTTGAAATAGAATTTGATTTGATGCAGTGTTCTTCTTCGTTTGGCAATGAATATATTTTCCAGTTATCGGCGTCCCTATTCTCACATCACTTGTGTGGATGACTGACGGTGGTCCAGAATTAGCATATTCCTTATGTACCTTTGTAAAAATTACCTAAGAAAAACACAATTGCTATCTCAGACATCGAGTTCTTCATAATTCTTATTCAACAGATCATTTTGGGATTATCGCAGTTACATGTCATATCCTGTTTGCGTCCCACGAGAGCCACAGCAACACAACCTCTTTTCCTATTACATCAGCATATTTCATCCATGCAGATATCCGGGTAGTCTAACGGATATCGGTAGGCAGAGTTGAAATTTCGGCTAAGGCTGTTGCATTTACTTTTACACAAACCTCCTTGGGAAAGAAAATTATTAATCTTCCTTCCCCCCACCTGTTATCGATTAAACTACAGTCTAAGAGCAGGGAAACGCTAGAAGCAAAGATAAGCCGCTTCACAATCTTTCCTAACAATTCAGGGTAATCCACCGATAAAAGGAATCTGTGGAGAGTTATGATAGACTATATCCTAAAGGGACATAAGAAAAATACTTCATCTGTGTGAGTCCATTTTACAAGCATTGTGGGACGAAAGTATCCATTGTACTGTTTTTTTTTTCTATTTCTTTTCTTCTTAATTTACATACATACATACATTTTTTTAAAAATATTTCATCCCCAAGGAAAATGATAATACCACGAAGGCTCAAAGGGGTTAATGAGAGTGCAAAAAGGGAAAAAGTTTGGTAGGAGGTTAATAAAAGAACAGAAGATAATAATTGATGTTGCATTCAATTTTTGTAGATTTTAGTTGATAGGAAAGCAAGAAGCAGTACGAGAGTTGCATGGGCGGAAAGCGTGAGAGAAGGACTATTGGTATCGAACTTACGGTTACATTTAGTAGTTTACACGGTAAAATAATGAGACCTAGCTGTCAATCTTGTACTACGCTTATGTTTTTGAAGTCGGGTGACCAAATAAGATACCTAATCAGAACAATTTCCATGAATATATTTATAAAAATGACACAGGGAAGCTAAGTTACGTCAGAGGCAAAGTAACAGGAGCCAAGATGCCAGGTCACGACCGATAACATAGCAGACACTTCTTTGAATTTTTTCAGGAATCGTGGGATACATGGATGAATAGTAAACTTATAAATGTATAAGATATAGTCTGGTGAGAAAGATTGTGTAGCACGACACAATAAACCAACATTCATAGAAGCAGGCCTAGCAGTTGAGTCAGTGTAATTATTTCACTTCATCAGGAGAAAAATGTCTCTTGGACGTTAGCAGCCATCATTTAAAAATACTTCTCTAATATATGTGCGCGCGTGAATGTGTGTGTGTGTGTGTGAGAGAGAGAGAGAGAGAGTGAGAGTGTATGTGTTTGTGAGTGTGTTTGTGAGAGCTTTAAAATATATATTTTACATTTATTTTAAATAAATAATTTCCATTCCTATGAACTTCTCTTAACTAAAATGTGTTTAAATAATTTTATTGCCGTGTAAAAATCCGCAATTATGAACAAAATTAAAGATGTTTGGTATTTTAATCTTACTTAAATATATATTTATAAATATATTGTAAATAAAAATAATTATTTGCAAATATCTATCTCATAAAAAATGAGTATATATACCTTGAATAAAACTAACCACGGTTCCTCTCCTTCCATCCCATGTTTTTCACTCTTTTCTCGGCATTTATATTCGTTTT